TAATAAAATATATAACTGCACATGTGTAATTTTTTTTTTAGCTAAGGGAGGACGGTGCCTCGGACATTTTATTAATATACACTCACTTGTGGTGAAGGAATACCGTGGTTATATGAGCAAATAATAAAAGTAGTAAATGAAGAAATACTACTTCCCTTATAATGAAAATAAATGATAAGGGAAAATTGTAAAACTGTAAAAAAAGAAGTATCAGATCCCTTAAAATAAGATCTAATGTAAATAAAGTAAAAAATAAAAATAAAAAATCATTCTCTAATGTTGTGCAGTCTATGTCTATCAATCTGTACGAGTGCCCTATTACGTCAGCTACTCCATATATCTGATATCGTCGATGATTCCAATCCTCTGCAGCAAGAGCTGCAACTTGATTCTCTTCTCTAAGGATGTGAAAAATTATGTCTCTGTTGAATGATACGACGTTTGTGATCTGTCTAAGTATGCCCTGAATAGCCCATGGTCCACCTACTCTAATGATGGAGTGAATAGTCAGAATTTGACTAAATCCAAATGTCTGAAAGATTAAGTTCTCTAGCTAGTAAAATCCCATAAAAAATGCCCCGAGTTCTTCCTCCAATATCATGCATGATCTATACGAAGTTGAGAAAGCTACAATACAGATTCCTGTGTGAAATTTGATGATGCCTGCCTTGCTCGCAAAATCATTCTTGACATATCCATCAGTACTAATCTTGATAGATCGACTGATAGAGCGCGCTACGAAACTAGAACGGGGAGAGATGAGGAAGGGGGGTCCAAAGAAATACCAAAGATGGGTGCAAGTGTCAAATCTCCTCACCAATGCATAGCTCGAAATAGTCTTCATTTATGAAGAAAATGGATCATGTGAACCCTCCAAATGATACGTCTGGCACCATGCGGATCCCCCTATGCTTCGTATTATTCCTCTTGGTCCAAAAAACTAGAATATCAGTAGAGGTATGATAGTGAGAATGTGTCTGACTCCCTTTCCTAAATTTCGCCATCTCTGGAACTTGTGTCTGACTCCCTTTCCTAAAATCATAGGTATCTGAAAAATAACTCCAAAATGCTGCCATACCTGATCGGAGATGCTACTACTAGTGAATATGTGACTGATAGTCTCAGTCTTGAAACAACGCTGGTAGCGAGAGGCCTACTGGCATCCAATCCTCCTCTGAATAACCACATCTAC